CCCCAAAACCCCAAAACCCCAAAACCCCAAAACCCCAAAACCCCTTTTATTCGAACCGAAGTTGATTAAAACTAGTAAAGATTATTAAAATCAATATGAACAGTCAGCAGAACATTGACCAGCAGATCGGTATTGGCTCAGAAGAACAGACAAAGTTGGAACATACTCCAGGATCTTTCCAAGCTTCATATGTAAGTAAATTACCTATGACGATCCTTTCTCCTGCTGTTTAGGCGCCACATTCTCTCACCTAGATTCAATATGAATATCTAAGAGGGGTGGTTGCGTTGCAATCATGGGAGCACTAATTTATCTATTTCCCGAAATTTTTGCTTTAGCCTAAATTTTTGCACTTAGAAAGGTCAATTTATTTGCCCTTCCGTTTAGGAAGCCTTGTCACCTCGTAAAAGATAAAATCACCTGCTTCGCTAGCTTCGAACATGGATCGTTTGCCGAAATAATGAAGATGGAACTAATAGATCTTCTTTAGATTGATGTCATTGCCGCAATGCCTGGTTCAGAAGATAAAGAATTAATCAAAAATGTCAGAGTAGACAAAGATATCAACGGCAACATCCTTGTCTCCACAGTTTGCAGAAGACTCGTCGAACACGGCTTCAATGTGACAGGAATGAGGGTATCCTACTATTCTCCCATTGAACAAATGTATATTTTTGCTGGGAAAGACCCGATCCCTCTTGAGAAAGATGGAATATCAGTGAACAACCTCAGCAACAACAGACTCACTTTGAAGTTCAGGCCTGGTCAAGATAATAGTCCTAAAGGGATGCCACCAGCTCCTGTCTTAGAGAATCAGCCTTCATCATACAGTCAGAATCCAGGTAATACTTCATATTTTATTTTTAAATAGAAGGCCAGATAGGATTCACAGGAACTGGAATGAATATGATGCATCAGGCACCTCCTGTGCAGGCTCCACCACCAATCCCAACACCTCCTCCTGTTCAGAATACTCCTATGTCCTCTGGGCCAACACTAGACATTGAGGAGAAAGAGAAGTCAGACTCTCAAGATCAGAGCAACATGGAAATTTGGAGTTCCGCCAAAGCCAATAGAAGAACCAAGGAAAGGAAGATTTCCTTCGTCATTGAAAAAGTTTCTATGTGGAGAAAACTCTACAACGGTATCCAAGACAACACTGGCAAAATTGTTAGATACAGGTAACTTAGAGCCTCGCTCACCTCTTTAGTTTGGAAGACGCTGCTAAGAAAGTGGGAATTAGTAAGAAATCCCTTGATGATTATCTCCTCCAACTAAGATACGGCAAGAAATACGGCTTTGACTTCAACGAACACAAGGAAGCTAAGATTGGTATCCTCAGAGCATTCGTCAAGAAGAAGAAGCAAGAAGAAAAAGACAAACAAAAAGGCAAAATGGACGCTCTTTCCGATTAATTCCTAATCTAGATCTCAGAATTCAATGTTCTTACCTATGAAGGGGTTTTGGGGTTTTGGGGTTTTGGGGTTTTGGGG